AACCGAGGCCACAGCTGCGTCTCTTGGCCTTCCAGCATTACAAGTCGACTTGTGTACTCAAATACAGCATCACAAATTTCGTTTTCGATATGGGGAGGGGGGATTTTTCCTTTTGATAGGAGGCCCTCATCGTCCTCAAAATCGGAGGACATGTCATCACGACAACTTCCACCAGAGTTCTGGTCCTCTTCACTGTCGCTCTCGGAGCGGACAGAGTGGTCTTCAGCATCGGAGGACCCAGCTTGTTCGTCCGAGTTAATATTCTTGTTCTCTTCATCTTCATCACAGGGTGTTGTGGCCGCACAATAGTAGCCCGAAGATCTACTTCCGTGCTGAGAGGACGCAACAGCAGCGCGTGCTTGTTGCCCTAGTTGCATTTTTCCCATGTCTGCTTTCTTCTTCCGATGCTGCGCTTCTTCAATGGCTAACTCCTGCAAAATATGCATTGCAAAGGTATCGCACCACAACTCGTAGTCGTACTACTTAATTCTTGCAGATATGCAAATACATTTTCTTAAGGTACGTCAGCATTACAAATTCGGATTTCTCATGCCGAGGAAATTTGCAATGCAATATACCTTGATCAGGACCACGTGGACGTGGACGTATAACTTAAATTTCAATACGTCGCCGATGTTTTCTTGTTCCTTTTCTTGGCAGACGTCTGATCTATTTATCATGGGAGATTGGGACGAGATTGATCAGACTCACAGAAGAAAATTCCTCCGAGGAGGCCGGCTACGTTTTCATTCGAAGAGCTGCGCCGAAGGTTGCTACGTGCATTCTGATCTTCCATCATGGGAGAAAGATTGACACCAGCGGCTCCCCGGATTACATGTTGGTACCGAAGTGGTGGAATGATCTTCATTTGAAAACTAAATCCCATTTCCTCAAAGTTCTTGCTTGACCGACAGCAGAGCAATTTTGATCCGACGTGACAACTGTTGCTGTCGATCATGCATGACAGATTTTTGCGTCCTCTGAATTTCCGATCACAAGTTGGCTTCATCTACGTGACCTGCTAGCTGAACCGACAGAGGAGAAATTTTGATCCGACATGACAACTTGCATCCGAGGATTTTGATCCGAAAATTTGCATCCGACAGGTGCAGAAGTTCATCTCGTAGGACTAGGAGACGAGAAGAATCTTGTCATCGCTAGATGGATGAACACTGAAATTTTTCGCGTTCGGAACCGCCCGTGCCTGCGTCGCGACAAGAACGGCATCTCTTTTGCCCGTTCCGAGAGCCCCCGCAGGCCCGGCGCTACACTTGGAATATCTGTACAGCCCTCACTACCAAAAAAATCTTGATTAAGAGAACGGAAAACTACATCAATCGACGTCCCTGCCAATGTGGAGTTAATATTTTCACAGAAGACAGTGACAGGCACACCTAGGGCGTCACCGCGCACAGGTGTCACTTGCGGTAGATGAAGCGCCATAGTGATATTTTACTGTGAAGAGATGTTTTCATTATCAGTGCAGTGCTCTGCCCGTTTACATCTCTTCTCTTTCGTACTGGTACTTCGGTAGTAATGTAATACTTCTAGTTGTACACAACAGTAGTAGTTCTAGTTTCAGATTCGAGTATATAGGTAGTTCGAGCAGAGCCAACGTTACTTCTTGAATACGCTGCTAGAATATAGTCGTGCAAGTAAGAACTAGACCTGCAACCTATGCTATCCACCAGTTCCACATTGTAACAATGCATTTACGATATTCCCGTATCCACCAGTTCCAAAATTATCATGCATTTACGATATGCCCGTCTAGAATTTGTTTCCGAGCGCCGGTGGAGCATAACAATGATAATTTTGGGCAACCTGTACTACGTCTGTGGACTTTTCAGTATAGGAAGTGCCCTGCCATAAACCAATTGCGCCCTGCCGTAGAGCATTCATTTTTGCATACGCGATCTGCTATCATGCCCGCACCGGGTAGTTCTTTCGTAGGTTTCAATAAAGGTATTTTTATGTATTAAAACACTTGTTTTGAAGGACTATACAGAAAGTACGAACTACAAGCATATAGCATGATGTGGCAGGCGTTGTACTATAAAATTATAAATGATAAACTAGAGGTAAAACGAAGACTGATGTAGCTACGCCCCCTGACGTACCTCGGTAGCCGATCGCTCTACCAACCGGAGGCACGATTGTTCATGCTTGCATGAACGATCGCGCCATGTTAAAGGTACAACGTGCAAATCTGTCTTGCATGATTGTGATGTCAGAACCTGCATGAAATTTTGATGAACCGCCATAGTGACCATAGTTTACTTGGCGTAAGTGTTGTCGGGACACAGGGGACATGCGGGGGCGCCGCTTTGTTCGCGTGGAGGCCAAGCTTCTGCTTCCCCGGCAACCTCAGATGCGCGCTACTGCGCAACACTCCGCCGACTGCTGTGGAGTGCGGCTCCTGCCCGTGTGGTCGATGTGTGGTCCCGCGAAGCGGCCGCGACCAGGCTGACGCGGTGCGCCCTTGCTCCTCGGCCGCAAGGGCTGCCGCGTGTTCGGCGTTCTGACGCTGCCCCACGCCTGCAGAGCGTGCGCGCCGTCGCCGGTCGGGCTTGTGTTTGTCCCCGGAGTACTGCGAGCGTACCCCTTGGGCCGTGGGGCGGAATGCTTTACCGGAGGACACCCCGCGGCCCGTCCGCGGTCTCCCTGCGAGGGGGGCCCGGGTGAGGGACCAAGCCGCCAAGTTCTGCGCGGCTGCGCTGTGTGCCCCAATCTGGAGGCGTGCGCGGGGCTGTTCTCAACATGAGGCCCGCGGCTTCGTTCGGTTCGCTAACAGTAGGCCGGCCCGGCCAAGACACACCCGCGGGGTGCGTCTGCTGACGGGCGTGGCCACTGCTGCCCTGTGCCCAATGGGTCCACAGGTGGGTCAGTCTCGCCTTCCTACGGCCCGCCCGGGCGTCTGCTTGGTACGCTTGAAAAACAAGCGCGGCCATGCGAGCAACAATTTCGACGCTGGGCCCGCAGGACCAGCAACGATTCCGGCTGACCGAGAGACCGCTGCCGCGGGCAAGCGTCACGGGCCATCGTCGGACTCGGTCGCGCGAGCTGCTTCACACGCCGGCGCTGCTTAAGCAATCGCGCCAAGCTTGGCGCGGAGGAACCTAGGGCGGCTCTGTCGCCATCGAGGTGGCTGCGCGGCTTGCGCCCTCGGCGATTTTCCCCACTGGGGCCCCGCTGACTCGCAGCAGGGTTTTGGCGACGCTGTCGCTTTTGGGGCGCGTCGCTGACGCTGGTGCGTGGTACATCTTCCGACTTTTTCACACCAAGGGAGACAGGCTGTGTCGCTTACTGCGGCCGTGTCTGTTTATGCTACAGGTGACCATAGTTTACTGTTAGATGTTAATGTTTTCATTATCAGTGCTCTGCCTGTTTACACCTCTTCTCTGTCGAAACCGTGCTTCTATTTGTACATAACACTTGTAGTTCTAGTTTAAGGCTCGAATAGAAGTAGGTAGCTCGAGCCGCCTTCTTGAAGAAATAAAATCGCGCAAGTACTAAAAATACGAACTACTAGACCACGCCAAAAAAGAAATGGCGCTACACTTCTCCCTGCAGTGGCCGCTTTTACTGCATCTGCTCCTGCTGCGGCGGCGTAACATCTTCCACCCGTTGGCGATTATCCGCGACGACTATCATAGGAGAAAAACCCACCTCAAGGCTGTTTTCACTTCTAGTCCTAGGGCAAAGAAAAAAAATAAAAAAGTTGAGGAGTTGGCGTCTGTTTATGAGAAGCAGACTCAACATCTTGCAGGAGATGGCGGCAGCGGATCGACCCGATTGCCAAAACAATCGAGCAGGGCTTGCTCAGATCTCCCGCTGCGGTGGGCGGCGAGGAGCAGCTGCGCCAAGGCTTCCGCGCCATCTAATTGGGAGCAGAGGAGGTAGTTCACCAGGAAGCAGGCGCGCGAATTCGGGCGAATTCGCGCGACTGTTTCCTGGTGAGCTACCTGCCCTCCACCCACAGGTACTAAGGTGGCCCGCCTGTGAAGACGGTCCTCCTTGGCCAAACCACGCGGCGACCCCCAAGCCAGTCCGCCTCGGCAAAGCTTCTGAAGCTCTTTGGCTTTTAAGTCATTTCATATTGATATTACTTCAAGCACGGGCGCCGTTATCTAGCTGGCCAAATAAATGAGCCTGCAGCTCATCTAGTACACCAATGCAAGACAGTGTCATCACTGAAAAATACGCAACAGTGGGTCACTCCCAAACGTACCGGGGACGTCTTTCCGCTTTGGCGGTGCTGCTTGCCTTGCGTTTTGGAGGTCTACAATTAAATTGATGATTTTGAAACATGCAAAGGCCTTTTTGCATGAGAACAGAAACAGAGATTTGGACAGCTCAGGTTCACTCGCAACACAAAAACACGCACCGAACTCACTCGGGACCGATAGAGAGGGAAGCACTTCAGCCCCTGCCGTCTCACCAAACACAATCTATCTGCCCTATGAAGCAGTAGGAAAAGAAAGTGTGAGGGAGTGCTCGCTTGTTGACGTGTCATAGAAATTTATGGCGGACAGGGGTACCGGTTCACCGACCATAAAACCACGAAAACAACGTGCTTAGAGGAAGGGAAAAATGGAATAGGTAGGAAAAAGCAAGGGAAAGCTCACTCGGGGCACGATAGTCGAAAATCGAAAACGACATACAAATTACGAATCGAGAACAAAAGCGACCAGATCGAGACAAAACATCGAGAGCGATAAATAATACACATGGCATGTAACGAGCGAACCAAATAGTACAAATAGAACATACTGTAGAACTAGCAGAGCGTCGAGAACGGACCAGGCGAGATCGATGTGTAAGTGTAGATCCAATTTGTAATGCGTAGAAATAAACAACCGAGACAGAGAAACGAGAGGCTGATCTTGAGGAACGACCCATCTATACGAATATAAAAACATCATAATCGAAAAACACTCTCATGGAAGCCGGGCATGAAAGAAAGAACCGAAACGTGGGAAGATAAAAAAGGAGAAATACGAGCATTACAGATTTGTAAACCGATAATGTACCGAAGATTTGCTTTTGAAATCAGAAGAGAAGGTTGCATGGCAGAAGGAGCAAACGAGCAACGAACAGCAAACGAAGAAACAGAGCAGGCCATCAGAAGTTTATATTCAAAAAAGCCATTGGATGATGACATAAAATTGTAGACTTTGTAGGACCTCACCCAGTTAAAAAAGCGTATGCAATACAAACATTCCAAGTGTCCAAATTCGAAAAGACAACAAAGTCTTTTTGAATGTGGACCCCCATATGCTGGCATGCAAAAGCCCTACAAGTGAGACATACATAGCATAGAAAACGAAAGGGCAATACAAACAGCAGGGGTTCGAGGAATGGATGTAAGGGATGTAACCGGAGATAGTTATTCTGAAACCAAATACTGGAATTTGTAATCCAATACTTGCATACAGAAAGAAAGGAGGACGCGGCGGAGGGAGACGGAATCTAGCCACTTGTTTTCGCTGTGGCGGGACAGTAAAATATCTATTGTTTTCCGGAACATGTTAAAATTAACTAAGTTCTTCATTCTAAGAATAAGCTCTGCTACTTCCCTAAGGAAAAAGAAAAATAAATTATTGTTGGAATAAAATCGGAGAAAACTGCCACAAAAACTTGAAAAAATAGCACTTTTAGCTATACAAGATCTTCCAGTAACGTACCTATTAACAGCAAACTTAAATAAGCTATTTTTGGAAAAAGTCTTATAGTACACTGTCCCTTTCACTATCGTCAGCTCGAGGTCTAAAAAGACCGCCGAACTGCCGAGCGATTCCGTTTCGAGGATAAGACCCGTATCCTCGTAGATCTTCCTCCATGCCGTCACGAAACTGGTGTTTTCACTAATGATATCGTCGACGAAACGACAGGTACCAGCGTACCGCTGTCGTTCCGTCGACGATAGACCACTTAAAAAACGAGATTCTAACGCGCAAAGTACACAATCAATGATTGAGCTTGCGCTACTCAATCCCATTGGTATGCCTATTCTTTGTAATAAAGTAATGCCAGCCACGTTTACAAAATTACAACAGATGCATGTTTTCATTACTTGGAATAAGTCGCTGTAGCGAAGAATAGCCAGAATGCCATCGCGCTTAGACGGTAAGGCTTTTGCTATCCGCATGCCAGAAGCATAAAAAAGGAAAAAGTCATGCTTGTGTTGTTGCAGAGCAGCATGCATTTGTTCATTTAGAATCCGTATCAAAGTGGAGTGCTTTAACATAGTGTACATACTACTAAAATCACCTTTGAAAAATGATCTGTATTTTCCTTGGGTGATTTTCTTTCTAGCCCCTAGACTGTCCCGCACGCGGAATCCCTGTGGGACTTGCAACAAAACGTAGTCTAAAATGTGTTTGAGATTGTCACTGAGGACGCTAATCGGCGTTTTGCTCGTCGCTGAGCAAATAGGCCGGAATGCAATAATGGGGGCTTTATGCATCTTAGCAGAGGGATACAAATAACTCAAACGTGAAGCGTTTTTGATTCCTGAATGTAGAGTAGGCGCGACACGAGCACAGAGAGCTTGTTTGACAGCATCCAAATTTTTATTGCTCACCTCATATGCACCTTCCCCAATAAGCATGCCAGGCTTCAAATTATTTTGGTCTACGTTCATTGTAAAGTCCACCCCTTCCTTCAGATCAAAAGTCATCGGCACGTTGAAAAAGTCCGGGACGCCAGGGTCGAAGTGTGCTTGTTTTCGATACAATTAAATATATTTTTACTTTGCCCTATAAGTAAAAAAGGCTTGAGGACTTTTCTAATTTGATAACGACCTGCCTCTGTCGGCGCAGGCAACAAGGGCAACAATACTCAGTGGCTGCACTGTAACACCCATTGGCTCTGTCCACGCAGGCGGCGCGTCCGGCAAGACAACATTCTTCGGCGCGACCGCTAACACAACAGGTTAGGACAAGACAACAGACTGCGCCGTCGATACAATTAGACGCGGCAAGTCCCAGGCGTTCCGCTACGGTGGGGGTGCGGTGGGGTTCCGCTGCTGCTTCAGCTGCAGCCTGAAGCACCTCCCGAAGCATCGGCTGCCGGCACTCGGGGCATGTCGTGGACATCGATCTTCCCGTACGAATCCACGTGCTTGCACACCCCTGGTGTGCAAGGTGTGCCCGCTGGTCGCCCTCCTCGTCAGCGCCAGCTCTGCACAATCGTACCAATGGGCTGTCTCTCTCGCTCTGCGGCTCCTGACAAATGCAACATTCATTACTCGGGGAACTTGCATTTCCGGCTCCGGTAGCTTGTTCAACATCACCCAGCTGGACAGGCGCCCCCGTCGCACGTGCAAACATCCTGGTTGAAAACGTCCCCACCCCAGAGTTGTCATGAAAAGTCGCATGCTCAGCCTCATGATGTTCGTTCCTCATGCAAGAACCCTACTGCGCGCCGTCAAGAGGCACTTTCTAGCAAGAGTTTGGGAAAAATCTGTCATGCGGTCGTCAGGAGAATGTAGTGGATTCGTGATGCGCATTGACAAGCTAGGCACGACTACAGCTAATACAATACACTTGTCATGCGTGTTGAGCCCCAAGAATGCGGGCCTTGCTTGTCTCGTAAAGGAGTTCCCGTCTTGATGACTTTGGGGTGCGGACGTTTTTGCACACGATAAAAGGGGTCCTTCCTCTTCTAGAGCAGCAGCCTAATCCTGCTAAAGGGTTCCATCCTCCAACACTACCGCCGCCGCTAGAAGGTCCAGGTGCTGCAGCTACAGATCCTCCTTCAGCCGCCTCTGTTTCCAGCAAGCGCCTCTCCCGCGACCGCCGCCGTGCTGCCCTGAAGCTGGCGTGCCTTTCCGGCCGCCCCGCTGCCCCTCTGTTGCCAGAAAGGGATAGTGCCTGAAGCTGGAGTGCGTGCGCAACAGGTGGTCCAACGAGGAGGGACAAAGAAAACCCTGCCGCGAGAGCCATCGCCATCAACGCCCGGCGCACCCGAGCCTGATAGGAACAACGGAGAGAGGAACCGGTACGGGACGAGAGCATCATCTTCATGATCTTGGGTAGTTGTACGACAGGTAGTATAGAAATAAACTTGTGTCAGGACGAAAGTTAAAGTTTGGCTTTGGAGGTTTTGTGATGCAAGATGATATTAGAGATGGTTTAGTTGCTCTTGCTACTTAATACGACAATAAAACGAAGTGAACAAGTTGGAGTAGCAAAAGGTCACTTCTTCTTCTTCTTTTCAAAACGATGATAGATGCTAAAGGTCGTCAACGAGAATCAAATCCTAGGGGGAGTTGTTGCACAGTGTGTGTTTCAGCTTCTTTGACTTTTTTTGCAATTTTGACTTCTATGAAGGAGAAGTAAATACAACCGGTTTTCCAGTGGCAATATGTTATGCAGTATTATTGTTTCGTTTTCTCTAGTGGTAGTTGGGCTGCTGTGTGGAGGTGGAAAGCGGAAAAAAATGCACAGTAGAAATTATCTACCGATCATATTGGCCGCGGGCGCGGCCGCACGCTGCAGAAAATTCCTCTGAGGGGGCCAGCTACGTCGTACTTCTAAGCGCTGCACCGAAAGTTGCTACGTGCATTCTGAGTACCACCATGGGAGAAAGATTGACACCAGCCTCCCGGATTATATGTTGGTACCGAAATGGTGGAATGATCTTCATTTGAAAACTAAATCTCATTTTCTCAAAGTTCTTCCTCGCCCGATAGCGGAGAAATTTTGAACCGACACGACAACTTTTCCTGTCGATGCATGACAGATTTTTGCGCCCTCTGAATTTTCCATCGAAAGTTGGCTTCATCTACGTGACCTGCTAGCGTGACAGACAGAGCGGAAATCTCGATCCGAGTACCGAGCATTTATTTTTCCCGTAGATCATGACCGCGCGAAAAAGTTGCAGAATACGGACATACATGACCGCGCGGAAAGTAGAGCGTAGTAGCAATTTTTTACTAGTAGTCGCACAGCAGTATGTTCACTTTGTATTGTCACTCACGTCGAAGTCGACTTCCATGCGATGCAAATGCATTCCATTCTTGGAGACCCATGTGGTCTAGACGGATTTATTGTTCCTTGTGGACCACGAGGCAGTACGAATACATTCGAAGAAGGTTGATAATATGAAAAGCAAAAGGGTCGTACAAATAGGCTACGTTAGCGTTTCTACATTTTTTTGTTGTGCAAATAGGGAGGTCGAGGACCACAGAAAACTGCGATCATGCATATTGTTCTTTTTTCCAAATAATTTGAAAATCATATGTTTTTCCGTTCTGATGAATCTTTTTATTCGATCGTTGTCTTATCGCAAAAACGAAATTAATAGAAATACCAGAGACTAGAGTGTTCTGGTGGCATGATTGCGACTGTAAATACTTCTAGCAGTTGTACTAGAAGCGACTTTCTTATACAGTGAAAATATTTGATCCAGTGTGTGTACTTACGTAACCTACGGCATCGCAAAAAGGCCGTATATACATATAGGGCGCAAACGAAATTTTAAAAATCATTTCTTCCGATAAAAAAAGCAAACGCAAACCTCAGAATTAGGCCGCTACGTGTCATTGCTGTTCTTTTTCCTTGATACTAGCAAAGGAAGCCTACGTGGTGGCAGCTCCGTTCGTCTCTTCTATCTTCTTCCTCTTTCTGTTCGCGAGCAGGTCCAGAAATGCCTGTGCTGGCTTGTTATGAAATGCAAATATGTCTGGGTCTGGAAGAGTCGGAGCTTGTCTTGCACATTTTGCATGACCTGTGAGGTCTGTGATGCTGGTGCTAGCATCACAGATTTTTTGAGAGCTTTTTGATGCTAATTTATTACGCATGAGAAATGCCCTCTCCTCGTGCCAAAAACTGATGCCTCTTGCTGCTCATGCAACACAGATTTTTTTCGAATCCGCAGACAGCATTACAAGTTCCAATCTTCCAAACCCAGACACATTTGCAATGCATACTTGTCCCGTGGCTGGGGCGAAGGAGCAGGTTTTTATGGCGTTCTCAACTGTTACATTCTGAAGTGTTACATGAATTTGTGATGCAAGAATGGCAAAAGTGAAAGGCGTGACCGTCCGCGTCTTGCATGACAGATTTGGCGCACGACATTTTCAGCCTGTTTGGCATTTCGCGAATTTGTTATGCGAAGCAGCTTGATCGTGTCGGCTCTGATGGTAATTCTGCATGACAAACCATGTAACAGCTGAGAATGTAACATTTGAGAACGCCATAGTTTTTGTCTTCGTCGAGATGAAGGAGTGGATGGGATTTCATTTTTATCAAAGAAAAAAAGTTCGTCACGATCACTCATGCGCATTCTTGCAATACAAAATTGTTTGTCATGCGTAAAAATGCATCACAGCCAAACTTCATTAGGGATTTCCCTAGTGTTTCTGCAATAGTTTGTGATGCTGAGAAAATTTGTAAGTTGTAATGCAAAACCTGCAAGTTAGTGACTGTGACAAACTTTTTTCTCTCCATAATTTTCGGCATCAACTACCCCGATAGAAGAAGAAGAGGGACAAATAATGACGCCAGCACCGCCATTGCGACTCCGCTCCTTCGCCGGTCGTTGTACTGGTTCTTCATCCTGTTTTATTTTTGTTTTTCCTTGTTTAATACAAGAACTCAGGGAGGACGAGTAGAAATACGGCGACGGGACGAGCTGCTGCTGTTGAGAGATCAGCGTTTGATCTTCTTCTTCCCGTAGGTGTAGTACGTTCTGGTCGGGTTCGGATTCGTCCTCCTCCTTGTCGGGAGTACTAATAGAACACGGTGGAAAGAACTGTTTCATCCCTTGCACCCTGCGTTGTTCAACATTTCCTGCTCCCGCTGAAGAATTGTGAGAATGATCTGGAGCATATCGTGTGCAAAAGTATCGTACTCGTATTGCAGTGAAGTGATGCATTACAAATCTTTTTCTTATAGGTGAATCTGAATCCGCGCCATTTTCTCATGCTGAGGAAATTTGTAAATGCATTTATACGAGTACGACACTTTTGCAGTGCATAGACCAGAACTACTCGAGCCTACTTCAGTGGTGGACGTTCGGCTTTTTCCTGCCGCCGGTGCCTCCGCTGTTGTACTAGGGTGCAGCTCTTTATGGTGTTCTCAAACGTTACATTCTCAACTGTTACATGAGTCTGTAATGCAAGAATGGCAAAAGCCAAAGGGGGAAGATTGCAAAAATTGCATTACAAATCCCACCCAGATTTAGGTGGTGTTTAGCTCTTCGCAAATTTGTCATGCGAAGCAGCTTGATCTTGTGGATGATGATGGTAGTTTTGCATGACAAATTCATGTAACAGTTGAGAATGTAACGTTTGAGAACTCCATACTCTTTATTTTCGACGTCTTCATGTTCATCCGATGCTGCAACTACCGGATCATCTTCCGGATGGGCTTCTTCTTCTTCTTCTCCTCCACTCGCATCTTTGACTACGACTGCCTCAACGTCGACGGTCCGATGAGGAAGTAGAGGAGCGCGGCCTTGTTCATCCGTTCTCGCTTTGATAGAAGCGCCTTTCGCTGCTACAGCATTAGCGTTACGAAACTCCTCTAGGCTGCTCACGTCGGGCAGGGGGACCAGGGGGTGCTTTTTGTTTCGACGTCCCTGATGAATCTGGGAAATTATTTCCCTGAAATCTGCTTGACTTTCATCTGCTTCGCCTTGACCTGGAGAAGTAGATGAAGAGTGCAAATTTGGATTTTGGTTTTCGTGTTCCACCGCCGTTTATGCACTGCAAAAGTGTCTGGGTCTGGAAGGTTGGAACTTGTCATGCTAAATCTGAATCACGCAAAAATCTGTGTTGCATGATTATCAAATGCTGTCCACTTTTGATCAAGTTGAGAGGCAGTTTCTCGCGCAGGATAGTTATGATAGTGATCTCACGGAATCTGTCATGCTAGGTCCTCCATTACAGATCATATGGGTCATGGAAAACCTGCATGACAAGTCGAGCAAAGTTCCACACCCAGACATTTTTGCGTTTGATACCATTCGAGAAGCCAAATCTTTGTCGTGGAGGTCGTGGCGGTATCCTGTGCAGAAGTATCGTACTAGTACAAATGCTAATGCAAGTCTTGCATTACAAATCTTGTTTCCAAGGCAAATCTGCATTACATTCAAATTTTATTTTTTATGCTGAGCAAATTTGTAATGCATTTATACGAGTACGATGCTTTTGCAATGCATAGGCGGCGGCCCTCATCGTCCTCAAAATCGGAGGACATGTCATCACGAGAATTTCCACCAGAGTTCTGGTCCTCTTCACTGTCGCTCTCAGAGAGGACTACAGAGTGGTCTTCAGCATCGGAGGACCCAGCTTGTTCGTCCGAGTTAATATTCTTGTTCTCTTCATCACAGGGTGTTGTGGCACAATTGCCCAAAGATCTTCCATGTTGAGAGGACGCAAGAGCAGCTTGTGCTTGTTTCCCTAGTTGCATTTTTCCCATGCTTACTGCTTTCTTCTTCCGATACTGTACTTCTTCAATGGCTAATTCCTGCAAAATTCGCTGCACTCGTCGCTGTTGCTCTAAGTCGTCCTCTTCTTGATTCTCCGCGGTGAGCCAGGTGGTTTTGAGATCTAGCACCTTGAGGACCTTGGTACTACTAGTAGGTGTAGCAGGAGGGCTCTTCAAAATGATCCTGCTGTCGTCCTCGGTCTCTTTTTCTTGGCGATTCTCTTGATCATCTTTCATGACAACAGAATTCTGTTTTTCACCCACATGATAACCCTCGTCTCTATCACTTCCAGCGCTGTATGGAGATTTTTCTTCCACCCCCGCGAGTTCTTCGCAAGCAGCTACCGGTTCTTCGCAAGAGTCGTCCCCCTGCTGCTGATCCAGTAGTAGTAGTGGACCCCCGCCACAACTTCTGCGGTCGTCATCTCTCGCCACAAGAATCGACGGCGCGACTGTAGTCGTGGTGGCCGTCGTGGTGTCGTCGTGTGCCTCATGTACTACAGACCCGCCAACAAGTTCTTGCTCGTTATCGCCATTTGCTGGTCCTCGTCTCGTGCTGGTGCGATTTATTTTATCGCCAGGTAACAGAACTACAGCACCACAACGCCGTCGATGCATCTTCCGCTGTTCTTGCAGGAGCTCAGTTTTCAAAAGCTTTTCCTCAGCGGCTTTATCTCCCTTCAGCTTGTAGACATCGTTCTGGTCGTCGTGGTCCTCGTAGTGACGACCTCGTACTCCCGCACGCGAAGATGACGAAAATACCCCCGCGGCCGCATGGGCATCAGGGTGCTGGTCAACAAGAAGTATCAACTGTAAAAATGTCTGGGTCTGGAAGAATTCATGTTTGTCATGCGTATCTGACATGACTCTTAAATCTGTCATGCACGTTACCCAAGAGCTCCGCTTTTCTGTGATGTAGAAGCGCAGTTTGTCATGCAGAATAGGCAAGAACACCTAGGAGCTCAGAAACTTGTCATGCTGAGCCAGCATTTATAGCCTCATCATGAGACGCCACCCAGCATCACAAGTTTCCAGACCCAGACATTTTTGCATTTGATAAGAAAACCCTCGTCTGCCGCGACGGAAGAATTCATCCAAGTGAGTATGACCTGCTCAAACGTTACAATCTCAAACGTTACATATAGAATCTGGAAGTGGATCTGTGATGCAAGAAATGCATGATCTAGCTGACTCTCATAGAAGGACTGCGCATGACAAGTTCCGGAGTCGCCCCCAACCGCACTACGATCTGGCGACATTTGTATTGGAGAAGGTGGAACGGTCTGCGAGTCTGTCATGCTCGTGATGCAAGACAAATGATCCCAGATTCCATTGTAACGTTTGAGATTGTAACACCTGAGCGGGTTATAGTGAGCATCTTTTTCTTTTTCACCCGTTCCCACAAAATCTCCATCTTCAGTCGCTTCTTGTATTCCTCGGCTGTCATGACAAGCTGCGGGATTTTCTTGCTATAATTTCCGATCGACACCTCAAACGAATCGACAATCTGCTTCCGCGCCACACTCGCGACATAAGCCTGCGACTCCTTCTCCGTGGCGCAGTGCCACTGCTGGGAAAGCCAGTTCAGCATGTTGGCGTATTCTTGGTACAGAGACTTGCTGTATCAAATGCAAAAATGTCGGGGTCTGGAAGGTGACCAGGTTTGTCATGCATATCTTGCATGGATCACGATATCTGTAAATGCATGATCTAGCATCACATATTTTTAGAGGCCTTCCTGATGCCTATTCCGCATGACAAATGCCCTCCCCTCGCAGCACAATTTGGGCTCCTATTGCTGGTCATGCAATACAGATCTTTTTAGCATCCAAAGTTAGCATCACAAGTCCCGACCTTCCAGACCCAGACATTTTTACACTTGATATGCTGAGCGGCTTGAATAAACTCGACTGAGTAGGCGACGTTGTTTCTGTTTTTCGAAGGTCGCAGCTGGTAGTTCTAGCTTTATACCGCGACCACTTCTCCCGCCAGTGCTGCCACCTCCGCTCCAACGCTGCTCTGCGATCGGTTAGAGGGAGCTTCAGAAGCGCAAAAATTTCTTTTCCCGTGCAGAAGAGCGGGTGGCCGGGGCGTGTAGTAGTTCTGCTAGAACTACTAGAAGTAGTAGTGTCGTGGTACATAGAAACCGTCTGCTCTTCTTTCTTCTCCAAAGCCGGGCTTTCCTGAAAAAAATCTCGCCCTCGTAGAAGCTCCTGTGTACTATGGCGTAGTCGTCTCGCACCCTCTCCAGCGCCCAGCTGACGTTCTGGTTCAATCTCCTCGTCAGAATAGCACGGCGAGCCACGATCACCTCCAAACCTCTCAATCAGTTTCCGCCGCAGGTAGTCTTGTCGGTTCTCGAAATATGGTAATTTTGTGCTATCATTCTTACTCCTGTTAACATCATTCCTCGTTTTCCGCTCCTCCTCGACAAAGTGCAGGGAAAAGGCCGCGTTTTCGACATCGAATACCTGTGGCGGGAACGGCGTAGGGAGGTGGAGGATCAATTGTTGCAGCACCTGCTCGGGCGAAGCGAGGTCGGGGTGGGGCAGCCGCAGGTGGAGGTTCATCATCTCTCGGGGATCCGGTCTGGTGCTCTTTCCGTAGGAGCTGTTAGCAATACGCGCATGACGTGGTCTACTTGGCGGATCATCTTCACGTGGAGGTCCTCTTTGCTGCAATATCAAATGCAACTATGTCTGGGTCTGGAACTTTGCTAGACTTGTCATGCAGGTTTTCCATGACCCATATGATCTATAATGGAGGACCTAGCATGACAGATTCCGTGAGATCACTATCATGCCTTTCCTGCATGAGAAAGTGCCTCTCAACTTGATCAAAAGTAGCCAGCATTTGCAAATCATGCAACACAGATTTTTGCATGATTCAGATTTAGCATGACAAGTTCCAACCTTCCAGACCCAGACACTTTTGCGATCCATATGCAAAAATTCTTGGTCGTCCGCGGCGTCGTCGTCGTCTTCTTCAGAGGAGACATTGCTGTCGGTTCGGTCTTCGGAGTCACTGCAGTATTGAACTCGGCGGAGTTCATCATCTTGGCGCTTTTCAACATCCGCATGGAGGTCTACTTGGGGTTCTTTTCCATCTTGCTGTTCTATTTTCACCAAGGTCGTCGTGGCAGAAATTCGTGCTGGTGTTCCTCCAAACGGATCATACACTTTCTGCTCCGCTCTCTTCTCGACCAAATCCTATGCATTGCAAAAGTATCGTACTAGTAGTAATCGCATTACAAATTAGCTCCGCATGACAAAATGGAATTTGTAATGCTGTTTTACCTTGAGATAAAAATTTGTATTGCATTACTGCGATTACTACGAGTACGATACTTTTGCACAGGATAAATCCGCATCTTCAACAAATTCCTCAAACAAAAACATTTCCGCAAAACCTTCCACCATTCTCTCGACCTGCTGCCGATCCCGCATGCGACGGTAAAAGTTGAAGCGGGTAAAAGGGTCTGTTCCTGCTGATTTATCATTTCCCCGACTGATACCTTGGCGAAGAAGGCTCAGCGGGTTATTTTCTTTTTCGACGAAAATTGGTTCTTGTTCCGCGGAAAGCATTTTTTTCTGCTTTTCCCTGATTTCTCGGGTAGATCGATAGGCGAGATTGGAGATGTACAGCTTCATATCCAAGAAAAAAACTGTGTTAGTGTAACTTTCCTTGGGTGACAACATTTGCTCTACATGACAAAAAAAACCTGTCATGTGTGGTTTGTAAGGGAAAACACGCATGAAAAGAGGACTTGATGGCTGTCTGGCATGACAGACGTGCCTCTGTTGCATGTTCTGCATTACAGAGTTACACTTACACAGTTTTTTTGTTGCATACTTCACAGCCTTCCAAACTCTCCGCTTCAAGTGCTTGCAATTGATTATCCTGTGAAAAAGTATCGTGATCGTAGTAATTGCAATCATGCATTTACAAATCTTTTTCTTAAGGTAAATCCGCATTACAAATTTTATTTCTCATGCTAAGAAAATTTGTAATACATTTATACGAGGAGGATACTTTTGCATTTGATATTGATCTGATCCAGACACTTGAGTCGCCCTGTTTTATTGTTTGGCGACGGTGGTTTTGGTTTTCGTTTTCGACGTTTTCTCGACAGTTGTTTTTTGTTCCGAAGGGGTTTTTTCTTTCGTGCTGCTTTCGACATCCTGTTCGCTTTTTTGTTCGCCTTCTTCTTTTCCTTGCTTTGCCGCTCTTGTTGTGATGCTTTGTTGCGTTTCTCCCTGCGATCAGATGAAGTAGTGGTGGTTTTGGCAAAAGACCTGAGTAACCTGGCTGCGCAAGCCGAGCCACGAGTTGATGAGAACAAGTGCTTCCGCAACAAAACCGCCTGCTGCGCGTGACAGTCGATCGTTTTAATCCGGCCTGCATGCTTGGCCAGCCGCGTCGCGTACTTTGAACCGGGCGGGGCAATGCAGCTGATCAAACTGAGCCCGGCCCTCCGTCGATTCGCGATGGAGAGTCCCGCGGGCGTGCAGATTCGCGGAAGAAAGATTCGGGAGCAGCCGAAGAAAAGGTGGACGATGGTGCGGAAATCCAGCGCGGCTGATCTTCGTGTCGTCGCAATCTTCCCGTGGGTGGAGGAAGAAGAAGAGTTCTTTGCACGACCTTCAACTTCTTCATCTTCAACGTCGAGCCGGGAGTGTGTATCCGTATCCTTCTCTTTCTCGTGGTTCCCAACATCTTCTTTTCTTCTCCTTTGCCTCCTCGTCGGCGCCCACGCCCTGCTGTCATCTTCTTATCAACCGCAAAAATGTAAATGTCTGGGTCTGGAAGATTGCCATGTTTGTCATGCAGATGTTCTATGGCTCATAAGGTTTAGAATGCAGCTCCTAGCATGACAAATTCTGTGAGATCTCTATCATGCCTTACCTGAATGAGAAACTCCCTCTCAACTTGATAAAAAAAGACGGCTGTTGGTAATCACGCAACACAGATTTTTTGCATGATTCAGATTTAGCATGACGAGTTGCAACCTTGTAGACATCCAGGGATATTTGCATTTCATAAATCTAGCATGTGTTCGATTTTCTCGGAGAACCCCGTGTATTCGAAAATGTCGACCCTTTTCGGTTCGAAGTCATCCGGCAAAAGTTTTATCCCACGAAAAAACTGTTTCACTGTGATGATTTTGCAAGATCTGCATCACAAGTTTGTTACACATGACACAGAAAATTTGCCATGCGCCCTTCCAAAGGGAAAACACCCCTAAAGAGTCAAGGTCTTGCAGGTGTAGCAAGACAAATAGTTCTGTGCTCCATTCTATGCATCACAAGTTCACAGTGAAACACCAGTTTTTTCTTGCGATAAGCTTCTCCTTCAAGTGAATCCGACTTTGAAGAAACTCGAGCTCTTGCAGCAGGAAGAAAGCCACGTCCTCATCACTTCGGTCAAACTGCGTATTTTGCAAGATATCCCGCCTTTTCAGCTTCAGCTTGTCAATTTGCCGGCGCAGCCTGCAAGTTTCGGGCGCGAGTTTGTAGAGTTTCCTCGTGACCGCTTGCAGTTGCTTTTCGCAAAGGTCCTGACACTGCTTGATTTGTCGGCGCAGTGAGAGTATGGAATGTAAAAATGTCTGGGTCTGGAAGAATGGAACTTGTCATGCTGTTTTTGGACTCTAACAAAATTTGTATTGCATGACCAGCAAGGGGGGTACAGTTTTTCTTTTTACTACACGGACAGGGCGCTTTTCATGCGGAAGGTGCATCAGGAAGCCCTCTAAAAGTCTGCGATGCTAGGTCATGCATTACAGGCATCATGGGTCATGAAAAATATGCATGACAAATCTTGCATTCTTCCCGACCCAGACATTTTTGCATTTGATAGAAAGGGGGAGGCCGATTTTCCGGTTCCTCTGGGTTTTTTTCTTGAGGCAGGACAGCAATACATTGCGGCCGTGCGCTGGTGGTACTTCTTCCTCCCTTTGCACCTTGTCTAATTCCCTTTTCCAATCGGTCTTGATCTTTTTGCACATTTTCTTCCTCCACTTTTCGGTTACTTTATCCAATGCCGCTTGAATGGCTTGTACTTCTTGTCGAATTTTCGTCGCCAGAGCAAAATGCTTCTCCTCTTCGTCCTGTAAACGAATTTTCGTGTACTCCTGACGGTCCATGAGGACACTCGGGTCCTTCTTGACAAGTCGTGCCTCGGAGTTGTTTGTGATAAGCAGCTCGGGGTTCTCCACCGCCTCGGGCATGACCACAATCGTGCCCGGAACAAAAATCGTTCTCTTTTGTACCGCCGTCTGCGAAAAGTCAATCCGCTCAAAAGCCGCGAGGGACAGGTCGGGTTCTTCGAAAGCTTCCGTGAGGGTCGTAACTGGTTGATGTTGACCATGTCTTTCTGTCTGCAGTCCTCCTCCAGTGCTGCTCGCGTTCAGGTTCATCAAAGCAGAAGCAGTTGTACTAGTATTACCGCTGTCATTCAATTTCGTCGTTTTCAGCAACTCCAACTCCTTCTGATCCTGACGATACAGACTCACTTCCGAGACGGAAAACAACTCCTGTTTCACGTTACCCGCGAATGCTTTTTCGTGCTGCCTGAGAAACTGTTGAAGGCAGGGCGTCTGGCGCGCTGCGGATACGCTGCTGTTCCCATTCTGTGCTCCTCTGATGGTAGTTTCGCTATTCATTTCCAAAGCAATGGAACTGGACGATGGAGCGAAAGAACCTCCTTCAAGAGGAGCAGGCTGTTCTTTCAACATCAACAGGCTGGAAAAATCTGCGCGCAGCTTCCTTTCCCATTGGAAGCATGCGCTCGTGTAGGCGGTGCTAGTGCCTCTATCAGTGAGGGCGAGGAAGTTGATGTTTCTGTTTGCGTTGTTCATTGTCATTCCGATTCCCAGTTCTCCCACGATTCCGCGCAGTTGTGGTGCCACCGCGGTTAGGACCAACCGCTTTTCCATATCAAAAGGAAAAATCCCCCCTCCCCATATCAAAACGGAATTCTGTGATGCAGATTTGTTGTCACAAATCAGCTTTGTCATGCTACACGGGAAAAGATGTAGACACTGTAGTGCTGGGTGGCGTGGGAATAAACCTTTGCGTCTTCAACATAACAGAAAACAACTAAAAGTGGGAAACAGCATGACAAATTGCCTGCAAACGAGACCACGACTGCGGCTCTTGGCCTTCTAGCATGACAAGTCGATTTGGTACCTCAAATCCTGCATCACAGATTTCCATTTCGATATGGGGATTTTTCCGTTTGATATTCCAAATTAGCGATCAGTTTCTCTAGGAATTTCTGCGCTTCCTCCCGAAAATAGACGTTGCTGTAATCCATATCCTGAGTAAAAACGTACCCACACCAGAGTCAGGATGGGAATTTTGCAACACAAACCTAGGAGCTTTGTGAGTCACGCATGACAAGTTGCGCTCTGCAGTGTAGGGCAGGTTAGCAAGTGCAGCCGCATCACAGATTCATCAGCTCATCCTGTTCACAGCATCACAAATTCCAAAACACATCTGAAAATGGCTCTCATGGGGATGCGCATTACAAGTCTTCCTGTCTTTGCAAATCTGCATTACAACTCTGGTGTGGGTACGTTTTTACTCAGGATAATCCAGCCTGCTCAACATCTTTCCGGTCTTCGCTTCGCCATCTCCTGCGCTGGTCGCAATTCTTCTCGCGCGCACTCGATTTTCAAACACGGCCGGGAGAACCGCGAAAGGAGGCAGCTGAAACTCTTCTTGTGCCGCATGCAGTAGATCCACTGATGTATTACTACCCTCTAGTACTTCCTCCAATGGGTTCCACGCCGCGGCCCCCGCCGATTGGAGGTTTAGCAGCATTCGGTTGTCGTTCTCTTTGTCTAATTCCTGCTCTTCTTCATAAAACTCCACATCCGAATCGCTATCGTCCCCCTTCGGCTGATACGCCTTCAAGAAATGCTGCTCGATTTTCAACAGCCGGATCTGCTCGAAAAGGTACTGAATGAATTTGGCCCTTCTTTCTTCATGAAATACATTCTTCGCGTACTCGTCGACGCAGGAGTGGAGGAAATTTTCGTAGGAAGCATGAGAACTGCTACTGTAACGGGAGAGTTTATGGTCTTGATCTCCTCCTGCATCGCTGTTTTTCGTACTATCCCGCATGACAAGTTTCATCTCCGCCTCCTGCCGACAATAAAGCTCCTTTTGTTTCCGAAGAACCGCCCGGAAAAACTCCTGCTCTTCAACAGACGAGCAGGCTTCGTCGATATCATTCTCCCTGTGAAGAGCTGCACGACGTGCAGAAAGAACAGTGTCGCACTGCAGCAGAACCCCCTGCATGAAACGCGCTCCGAGGTCCTCGCTTAGGTTTTGTCGGATTTTCCGCTCTTCTCTGTTCAGCCGCTCGAACCCTGCGTCAGAAATACTTTGCCCCGGTTTTTTGTTTTTCACACCTCCGAAAAACGCCTTCGGAATCTTATGCACAGCAAAAGTATCTATCGTACTCGTATAAATGCATTACAAATTTTCTCAGCATGAGAAATAAAATTTGTACTGCTGATTTGCCTTAAGAGAGAGATTTGTATTTGTAATGCATGATTGCAATATTAGCTACGAGTACGATACTTTTGCACAGCATAAATCTCGTCCCACATCTGCCATCGTCGGAAGTACGCGCCCATCAACTGTGAAAATGTCTGGGTCTGGAAGATTGGCAGCTTTGTCATGCATATTTTGCATGACCCGTGAACTCTGTAATGCATGCACGAGCATCACAGATTTTTAGAGGGCTTCCTAATGCCTATTCCGCATGAGAAAGCCCATCTCCGTGTAGCCCAAATTGCTTGGAGTTCTCTTGCAGGTCACGCAATACAATTTTTTTTTGAATCCAGAGACAGCATCACAAGTTTAGAATCTTCCAGACCCCGACATTTTTGCATTTGATAGCACCTAATTTTGCCTTGATGCTCTTCTCAAGTGTGTACTGTTTTTTCAGCGACCCCTCAAACCGCAGCAGCATCTCATCCCTCCGCTTCTCGAGCTCTTTTTCGTCTTTCTTCGAAATTTTCTTCTTGAAAACGGTCGTTCCTTGGATTGGGCCCGGGATGATGTTGTAGGAAGAATGTTGAGAATCGTGATTCTGGGATGACATCAAATCCAGATGCTCGTTGAAACATTTGTCCGTCTTGCAGATGAACGTGTTCCAAAACTCGTCGTAATCGAGCGCAAATTGAACGTATTCGTTTTCAAACTTTTCCCAATCATCGGTGACGATCGCGACAGAGGTGTCGAAATAGCCTCCATCTGGTTCGACGTACTCGGCTTCTTCAAGGGCCGCAAGTGATGAATTTGAATTCGGTTGTCGAAAAATATTGAACGCGGTCCGGATTTTCTTCAGAAGCCTGGCGGTGGTTATTTGCCGGTCGTACGGTCGTCTTGGAGGTTGTAGATGATGTAGTAGCCGAGGATTTAGTTGTGGGTCGACGTTTTGGAGATGACCTTGATGTTGCACTGGGGCGGCCACGACTGGGACAACCACTGGCCGCGTTCGTTTGCCTTTGCTGCTCTCTGTCCTACGCGACAAGCGCTCTCGTCTTCGCCCGGCAACGCAGCTCCGAGCGCAACCACTCGAGCTCCTGCTCCTGCTGCCAGTGTCTGCTCCTCTGGGCGGCTGCGATAATGTCTTTTCTTCCGACAACTCGTCGATCCACTGCGACTCCTGGTAGTCCCTCTTCCGGTCAGAGCAGTCGACTTGGTCTGCAAAATCTTGATGTCCCTCCAGCTGCCACGACTCCTCCTCCATGGAAAAGCTGGAGCTAGTACGCGCGTGTTCATCAGAAAAATCCCCCTCGTCGTCACTATCCGGCACGACCGGAAGCTGCAGAATTTCGCAGAGCTCCTCTTCCCCGGAGCAAAACCCAGCGATTTCCCATAACGGAAGTGGCTCATTGTCGCGCTTTAAGGATCTTAATGCTGTTTTATACCGGAATTCCGCAAACGCCGACGGGTCGAAGTCGGTAAAAGTTGCATCGTCCTCAGCACTAGGAGCTGCACCGGTATCCTTCGCGTGCTGTGTGTCATCTATTCTGTCGGGAGATGATGATGCCACAGCAATGGCTGTGTGCTGCGACTCTTGTTCTTCTTGTCCAAGAACATCGTAGTCATTTGATGCAGCCACGCCGCCATGCTCGTCGTGTCCCTCTCCTGCCTCCTCTAGAACAAGAACCTCTTGTTGCTCTGTGTCCTCGACAAGTACCCACGAGGACCCTTTTTCGTCTACCACCTGTTCCAGTGCGAGCTGTTGGAGAAATTCTCTGTGCGTCTGCGGCATGACAGACTTGTCCCTCTCTTCCATGGTATTCGCTTTTTTCAAGTTATGAGAGTGCACAACTTCCCCGCCCCCTCGTTTGTCATGCAATTAGCCAAATCCAGGCTCTGCCTCTTGGCACTGTTTGCATGACAAGTTCTGGCTGTAGCCCAAATAGCACTACACTTCAGTGTAAATTTGTCATGCAAGGCCGGCATTCTTGCTGATGCTTGTATTGCCGTTCATGCTATACAAATGAGGGGGAGGGAAAGATGTGCACTGTCATACAAGTCGGGTACGTACGTCAGCCACTGGTCGTACAGAATGGGGTGTTTAAACGTGCCGCCGTCTTCCGCCTCGACGCGGACGGGAAGGCGGGGTGGAATGGTGTTCTGATCCTCGTCTCGATCTTCAGAGAAGAGATCATGATCATCTGAAAGCGAATCGGAGTCCTCGTGTTGTTCCGGTAGTCGTGCTCTACCTTGTAGTGGAATATCATCATCATCTTCCTCTTCCAGGCTCTCTGTCTCACTGTCCTCCTCCAAGAGCGCAGGTTCGTTGCCAGCAGATAATTGCAGTGGTGATGTCCTCTCGTCTGCGCAATCCTTTTCGCCATCAGTGTAGTCCCTGTTTGCCGGTGGCTGATGTAGTTCCTCGTCGCTCTCGCTTGCACTATCCTGTTCTCCTTCCGGGCCAACTACATGGATCAGGTCTGCCTCATTCACAAGCAAAGAAGTAGGGGAACCAGCAGTAGGAGGCTGGTGTACTTCTCCCGTTCTTCCAATTACACAACCGGTCGTGTCACCCTCACCTCCAGCTACACGACCTGTGTTCAGGAAAATAAATCGGGTGCTACTTTGTAAGTAGATCCCACTGACACCAATCACTTCTCCACCGACGGGGGCAACCACACACCACGATCTTGATCGACGGTTTATTTTCTGTTTCGTTGATGGCTCTTCCTGTGAATTCAAGTCCAATTCTTGTGTCGTCACCCCACCACGGATGAGCGATGGCCTAATCCTACCGGTGCTGCAAGAGCGACTTCGTTTCTGCTCTGTGCGAGGAATCGTAGACGTCCGCCTTGGCGCAGGAACGCGAAGTGCCTCGACCTTCGCTTCGCTCTTTGCTGTGTCCTCGTAGTTGAGGGCAAACTTCTTTGCTTTATTTCGGCCTCCATCCGATTCCTCGCCATCCTCCTTATCTGAACTAGAACTGCAACTCCACTCGGACGGAAGCTCCTCTGTATCAGCGGTTTCCTCTTCGTCTTGTTGGCCCTCCGAACAATGATCTTCGGCAACTACAGAAGGGGACGAAGTTTGATTTCCCTTGGATGTTGATGCCGCTGGGCCATTCACATCAGATAAAGTTTGCGAACCAGTTTTACCTTCTTGCACCGACGGCGGCGTCCTCCTAGGTTCTACTTCTGAACCAAGCGGGTCCTCTTTAATATACCCGCAATGTTTCACCAAAAGCCTTGTCCACCTCTGTCTCTCTGGTTCGGACTCGATGGCCGCTAAATTTTGCGTTACGACTCTTCGTTTCTCGTCGTCCTGCGGAAGGAGTTCGCGCCAAAGGGGAAGCGGGGCTATTTTCGGTGCTGAGCCATTGAAATCCGAAAAATCGGAGGAGTCGTCACTGTCGGAGGAAGTAGAGAAAATAACACTGCTGGTAGAGGAATGCGATGGCCTCCTGCGCCTGGAAGAGGCGGAAGCCCCCTCTACTGACGCGGGCGGTTTCTCAGTCTTTTGACTTTGTCGTTGGGGCGGAGGAGGTTTGTTTTCCCGACGTCGTTGGCGTGCCTTAATTTGCTGGCAATCACTCTGTACTACGTCAGGTTTGATGCCAGCGCGAGGACCACTCTGCAGTCCGGAAGCAGGTTCTTTCTGCTCACTTTTCACCGCAGCCAACAGTCCGGAAGCAGGTTCTTTCTGCTCACTTTTCACCGCAGCCAAACCAGCAGGCTTCGCCGCTTTCCTCGCCGCTCTGTTCGCAAATTCCCGCGCCCGCTTCTCCTCCTCATCCAGCACCGTTGTCAACGCCTCGACCCGCCGCCGTAAATTCAGCACCATGGCCCAAAACTGCGGACAACGAACGCAAATGTACATCATAAGGATGAAGTGGTACTGTTTTTTTTGCTTCGGTCCCAGCCACGGCGCTTCCTTCTCCGCCCAGGTGGATAGGAAGTGTTCGATCGTTGGCCTGTTGCTCGTGGTCTCAAAGCTCTGATGAGCAGCCATGATCGAGTTTGGCTTCGGCGCAACATGGTGTTGTCTACGCGCAATCCTTCTCGATGTTGATTTCCTGATGCCGGAATTGAGCGAAGCGTGTAGGAGGTTAGAAAACAAACCATCGTCATCGGAGTTTAGCGACCCGTCGGAATGATCTGCTCCGGGCATCGCCGAGCCGTCGTTTTCATGTTCCACTCCGCAGCTAATGTTAGTAGTTGTAGTACCTCTAGAAGAAGATAAAACCGAAACGACGATTTTCCCCTCGTTATCGGAAGACAGATACTGCTGACCACCGCCTTCGTCATCCGAGGACAAGAATCCGTTCGATCTTTCTGGCGGCGCGAATAAAGCCTGTGGCACGGTGAAATGCCCCTCGTAGTACTCTCGGTCCATTTTGTCCAAAAAGCCGTGTTTTTTCTTCAAGTCCAGAAACAGCGCACTGACCATGCAAATTTGTCTTGCGAAAGCAGGTAGGTTGTTCTCTGAGTCGATGAATCTGGTCGCGTTTTTTGCCGCTTTTCGGTATTCGCGTAAAACCACCGGATGTAGGCGTTTCTGAAAAGCGACTTCGTTACAGCTGGTGAGATCCAAGTCGAAGTCTTCTAGTACTGCTTCTGCTCCCGATGAAGCAGTACCATGCTTCCCAGCATGTAGTTGCAGATCAAACACCGGCGGACAACTCGTACTCGTGACCAGAAACTGCAAGTCCGCTGCATTTCCCGGAAAGTCGTGGTTTCGGTGAAACAGGCTGACTCTGAGATCGTGGAGGGTTTTGATAAAACCCTGGAATTTCTTTTCTTTGTCCAGTTCCGACATGTTATCCATTGTTTTGTACCCGAAGAACGTGTACGGTCTCGACGTAAAACGACCATTTCGAACATCATTTTGCTCCACGATAAACTCCGGTTTCTGTTCGGATTCTGGCGTTTTGGGGAAGGAGGATTCGATATCCTGTGCAAAAGTATCGTACTCGTATTGCAGTCATACATGACAAATCTTTGTTTTATGGTCAATCCGCATTTACAAATTTTATCTCTCATGCTGAGGAAATTTGTAATGCATTTCTACGATTACGATACTTTTGCAGTTCATATTCGAGCCTGGGGTTGCGGAGTTTGAAGAAACCGGTTCTCGTTTTGATTTATGAAATGAGAATATAACTGGGTCTGGAAATTTCTGATGCTAGAATGTGCATCATGAAAGCCCTTCCTTATGCAGCAAAGCATGACAAGTTTGCATAACGCTTTCTCATACGCAATTCGCATGAGACGCTGCGTTTTTGTATGACAAGAAAGGCTGCGACTTTTGTTCTTGGTCATGCAATACAGATTTCACAAGAATGTAAGAGCAGCAATACAAGTTCCAACTTTCAAGACCCAGACATGTTTGCAATCCATATGATTTCCAAGTTGGAGAAAGTTTGCGGCGTTTGGTGTTGGACAAGAACAGCTTTCGGAGGTGAAAGAACTTCTGCTACCTCTTTGGCAAGGACAGGTTCCTGCTCTTGCACCTTCACGACCGTGGTCGTGGGGCCATTCATGATCGCCCTCGACGCTAGATGGACCTGCAGCACTTTATCGGTAGCCTGTTCTTCCGCATCTTCTGGTCTAATATCTGCTGGTGCCGCCTCCTCGGCTCCATCAAAGACGGTAGAATTTGTGTGCGTGTCGTGATGATCCCCCGAAGTGGAAGTAGTAGCATCATCGTCAACATCTCCGCAACTTCTTGTCGTTCTCCTGTCCAAAAGCCCGTCGTCCACTTCGTCCCAATTCTCAACACTTGCCCCATGAAGTTCCATCTGCGATGTTGCGAATTGCAGAAATCTCGCTTGGGATTCTGTGAGCCGGGGGAGCGCTCCTGCTTGTAGTTCTGATGCCCCCACTTTAGCAGTATTGTGGACCACAGGTTTTGATTTTTCAATACTGAGAGGACCACGATCGGCCGCTATCCGCTTCCCGGTGGCAACCAGCTGGTACTCCACGTGAAGCCCGCTTCGGAGCTTGTTTTCATGAGCACCGGCACAGGTTGTAATAGCGCGGTCTGCGTCATCTGTTTCTGTCGTGCGAAGTAGACTTCTCTCGGGAAGAGCATCTTCGAGTGCAGCTGACTCTTTGTCGTGCTCCAGAACGTCAAAAATCGGCGCCATGTGCTCCAGGCCGTCCAAAACCGCCTTCGCGCTAGCGCTGTTCTCCTCGAAGAGCCCGAGGTCTGCGAAGGTTAGGCTGGTTTCTTCCGTTTTCTGCATCACAAAGCTGCTTTCCATCCCCGTGTTTTCTGCATGACAAAGCCCAGCTTTCCTTAGCATCTCCACATCCGTTTTCCGCAGCGTCAAGTGCCCGAACGCGGCTCGCAGATCCTTGAGTAATTTCGCGAACGCCGGACCTGTTTGCGCTGCCGGCGTCGAGTTGGAGTTTGTGTTGCGAAGGGTGGACGAGACGAGTGCGTCTTTCTCATGCTGTTTCCCATTCCCGTCCCCGAAGATGTCCAAAGGCAAATCCGGCATCGTCTTCCCTTCATGCCGGTTGATTCGGTAGTCGATGGCATCCTATGTAAAAACGTCCCCACCCCATAGTCAAGATGGGGAATCGGCTAGACAAATCCACAAGTTTTGGCTGTCTTGCATGACAAATTTGGAGTTGTAGTGTAGTGCTGTTTGAGGTAGTTCAGCAGCATCACAGATCCAGTATACCAAGCTGATTGGAGCTCGACAAAATGCAAGACGCGAATTATAGAAAATTCAAATTCTTGTCATGGGGCTCCGCATGAGAAACATTCTCAGCATGCAGATTTGCATAATACAACTATGTTGGGGTGAGGATGTTTTTAAATACGATAGATGGAGAGAAGATTTGCGCCTGGCGGCGGAGTGAAAAGATCAACTTCTTCCTCCGTGCTCGCTGCTTCGCTATTCATCCCTCGGCAACTCCCATTCCTGTCCCTGCGGGCGGTCGTCCTGCTCTTCAAAAGTTTTTCAATCTCGTTGAACTTCGCTTCGTCGAATTTCTGCTGCGTCTCGAACAGTTTCGTTTCGCTGTGTTTCTTATGAACTGCAAAAGTATCGTACTCGTCGTAGTAATTGCAATCATGCATTAGCATTACAAGTCTTTTTCT